CCTCAAGCATCAGCATAAAACACATAAGCCAATGAATTCCCGTTAATATATCAATAAAACTGTTAAAATATTAATTTCCTATTAAAATGATAACTGTTCAACCAATATTATTTGGAAGACTGTACAGGTGACAACAACCAAAGCAAACAGACAACCTACACAATAGGAAAGGATATTTGCATATTTTTAATATTTTGAATCAGACAAAAGCTTGATAACTAGGATCTATAGAGAACTCCAATCAGTCCACATGAAAAAAGCCAATAATCTCATATATCAATGGGCAAGAGAGATGAACAGCACCTCCATAGAAGACAGACATATGGCTAATAAACATATGAAAAAATGCTTATCATCCCTAATTATTAGATAAATGCAAATGAAAACCACCCTGAGATATCATCTAACCCCAGCTAGAATGGCTCCCATCACAAAATCTCAAAACTGCAGATGCTGGTGTGGATGTGAAGATAAAGGAACACTTTTACAATGCTGGTAGGACTGCAAATTAATACAACCTTTTTGGAAGGAAGTATGGAGAACCCTCAAAGAACTCATGCCAGACCTCCCATTTGATCCTGCAATCCCATTACTGGGCATCTACACAGAAGGAAAAAAAATCCTTTACCACAAGGGCACTTGCACTAGACTGTTTATCACAGCTCAATTTACAATTGCCAAAATGTGGAAACAGCCTAAATGCCCACCAGCCCAGGAATGGATTAACAAGCTGTAGTATATGTACACCATGAATACTATTCAGCCATTAAAGAGATGGAGACTTTACATCTTTTGTATTAACCTGGATGGAAGTGGAACACGTTATTCTTGTAAAACATCACAAGAATGGAGAAGCATGAATCCCATGTTACTCAATTTTGACAAGAGGACAATTAATGACCTAGTACATGGTGGGGGGTCAGGGAAGGGCAGAGCAGAGAAGGAGGAGGGAGGGTTGGGGAAAGAAAGAGCAGAGGGTGGGAAGGGGGAAGGGCAGTGGGAGAAGGAAAAGCAGAGAGAGGAAAGGGGGAAGGGCGGTGGGGGTCTCGGTGTGCGACACACCTTTTGGGGGCAAGACACAAGTATAAGAGGGACTTGACTTAACAAATGCAATTAGTGTAACCTGGTTTCTTGTACCCTCAGTGAATGCCCAACAATAAAAAAAAAAAAGAAAGAAAGAAACAGGCTGACATTCATGGAAATTTTGAAAAGGCTGAGATCCCAAGGTTTGAGTCTAGCTTTATCACTTGTCCTGAGACACAGGGACACTCACTTGCTGTTCCAGAGTCCTCTTTCTCTGACTTGCAGAAGGCTGTTGCATGGAGTTAAATAGAAGCTAGCTACCTCAGGGGCCTGTAAATAAAGAACAGAACTTGTCCTATTTAAAGCTTGATATGAAAACCGAAGATGTACTAAGGTGAAGTGGTCTAAACTATAATTCACTGCACAAGTATGAAGTACTATTGTTTTTAGAAATAGCCTCTGATTGGCAGACCGTTGCTAATTCATTTTTACTCTGCCTCACAGAGTCATCTTCCTAACACACAGTATATCACGTATCTCTGCTACTTAAGACTTGCCAATGGTTCTTCTTTGCCAAAAGATTAACGTACATACCATTAACATTCTGAATTTATTCCTACTGACCCCTTCACTGATATGCTCTGTGATATACAAGGGCTGTCTATAAAGTATCCAGTCATATATGTCTCTATTTTTCATATTATAAGGCTGGATACTTTCTGAATACTTCTGTATAAACTTGGCATTAAATATGTGTGGCTTGTTAAAAGAATATCCCACATGTTCAACTTCTAGGCCTTTGTTACTTCTGATTCCTTTGGCTTGCTTTGACTTTGATGCTTCATAAGTCTTGATAAATCTGATTTATTCTTTAATTCACAGCTTAAATGCTACTTCCATTTGGAAAACATCTCTGCAATCAGCCTGTGCATCTCAAAACATTTCTATCTATACCTTCATAACCTTGTACTGGAATCATTAATATAGTCCTCTAACAGTTCTACTGTGTACACTGGAAGTCAAGGCCAATGTCTTATTTATGATTTCATCTGAGAGGCACAGCACTACCTGTTAGGCAGAGGCCTTATGGTGGAACATATTGATTAAGAATGCAGGCTGTGATCAGCTCGACTTAGGTTCAGATCTTGGCTCCACTACTTTGTGGGCTGTTCACTTACCTTTTTTAAGTATATATTCCTTTATATGTAAAATGGAAATAACAAACAGTTATCCTAATTAATATCTGAGACTCAGCATACAGTAAATATCAGCTCTTCTAGTGACAGTGATGATGATGAATCTGCTTAATAAATATTTGTCCAATAAAAAGAGGATTAAATGAAATATATTCACTTCAATTAAAACTTATTTCTAGGGACCATGCAATACCAGTTCCAAATGCCTTCTTCAAAATTAGCTTTGTAGTAACGTTGGTGGGGTCGGGTGGTGTGTTTACTTGGTGTCTCTGAGAAAGCTCAATTTTATGATGGGAGTGGTGGTGACAGAGATGAGGCTACAAAGAAAACAAATTCTACTCCTTCAGAAGTGAGCACTTTCAATAGCCCAACTCCTGTCTACTCACATCCTCTGGATCTAATACCAGTCTTAGGGAAAGACAGGAAAGGTGGGGAATCTCTTTGGAGATGAAGAAACCAAGAAGAGCCTTCAAACTCCAAATACAATCTAGACCATTCAGCAGTTAGGGATATGATGTTTTAAATTGAATTCTAAACAGCATATCATGTCTATCCACTTCAAAGGGTGTCAAAAAATCCATCAGTGAATTAATGGAAGTTGAAAAAGGTGACAAGCGCTGTTTTCAAGAGGACATTAGAACCCTCAGATAATAAATATTAAATGAATAGGTAACTTTCTTTAAATAGAAAGGATTTTAAGTTTAACATGAACTTAAAAAAAATTCCCATTGCAAATTGTATTTTGTATAAAAAGATGTCCTAGTCCAAAATGTCTTAAAATTGTCTTAAATTTGTTTTCTTCTGTTCTGTAGCTGACTACTGAGTTAAGTGGCTTGGGGGTGGGGGGAGGAGAGACCAACTATATAGAATAGAAGGTAAGGTTTTAAAAGAAATCATTAAAAACATGAATATCAGTTTGTTGGTTGCTGAGGGTCCGAATAGTGAAAAATTATTGACGTTACTGCAGATAATCATGACAGTTGAAAGATACCCAAATAACAACAGGAAATGGTGCTTATGAAGCTCTATGGTGCAATCTGTAATGATTATTGGGAAGGCACACTAATTTGTGAGATGTAATATTCTGAAGGTCACTCAACTTTCCCCTCGCCATAATGTCATTAAATTAAATACACAATAAAAATCCATGATTATTTATGGAAAGAATTTTGTAGTGCTTTCAGAACGCTGTATTACGAGTTGTGGCTGTATGTACCAGCAGAAATGCCTGATCTAATGCACCATTAAACAAACAGCAGCCTTGCTGTACATTTTTTAAACATTAAACTAATTATGAAGAGGTTTGGTCTTACTACACTGCATATTTAATCTTTTAAAGAGCCTATCAAACTGAATCACGCGATACAATTTGTTTACGCTGTAAGCAAACACATGCAGTATTAACAATGTAACACTCCTGGCTTAATTAGAAAAAGTTCGCGTTATCTTAAATACATTTAAGAGTATAATCCACATACCACCAAGCTCTAATTTTAACTTGCCATTTAATTATATCTTAAAACTAATTTCTGTGACTTGGAACTATTTTTTTCTTCGCTTTCCCCCATGCAGAAGTTTGATCTATCAACCCTGTTACAACTAGCTTCTACTGAAAGTAAAAAAAAAAAAAAAAGAGTAGAGAAAGATTGAGCGAGACTGGAGGGGGAAGGGAATAATGACAGTGGAAGACAAGAGCACAAACAAGAAATCACTTAAATGTGATCATTAAATGGTGTTCTGGTTATCCATCAAGTCAATGGGCTAAACTGTACCCTACAAGGATCCTTCTAGCATTCTTTCTCTGGGCATAAAGTTCCATAAATGGAATTTGCTGTTTCACAAAAGGATGTCTTTTGAAAATTCTCTTACTTCTTTCTCTCTTAATTTTCTACCCCCAAGTTATGCATGAGAAATCTTTCAGATCTTTTAACATCATCCTCACATTTAGGCAGTCGAGTACTACAAAGAATTTATGAGGGCAATAGGGAGCAAGACAGCCTGAATTCTTTTTTTTTAATTTTTCCTTCTAATTTTATTTATTTTATTTTTTTTCCTATTCAGATTTCTTTTATTATTTCTTATAGCATAACTGTGTACATTAATGCAATCGTGGGGTACAGTGTGCTGTTTTCACATTTTGAAATACTCTCAACAAACTATGTTAACCTTCATGTCATTTTCTTAGTTATTGAGTCAAGACATTCATACTCTGCCTTTAGAAAGATTCACTGGTACCCTTGTAAGATAAACCATAGAGGTGACCCCACAAATCTCCCTCCCCCCATCCAGTCCTCTTACCTCCCCTCTCCCACTCCCCCTTCCCATATTCTAAGGCTATAATTAAGTTAACAACTTAATGGGACATCTCAAGCAGCTGGAAAAGGAAGAACATTCCAATCCCAAATCCAGCAGAAGAAAAGAAATAACCAAAATTAGAGCAGAATTAAATGAGATTGAAGACAGTCTGAATTCTTGAACTGTGTTCTTTTGTGATCAAAGCTATTGACTCTTCCCTCTGAACCTGGGTTTGCCAGCTTAAATTAAAGGACAAAATTTAATATTCACACCAAAAATAAGCTACACAGGAAATCACTAAAAATCAGTAATCATGTAAAAATTGTAATATGAAAAGTTCAAATTTTTGATTCACTTAGGCTTGTAAAAAACAGTATGAAATCAAACAGTATAACATGAAACAAGTTAATTTCTGGCGGACAGAAAGGCCATCACATCTGATTAGATCTTTATAGTAATCCACAAGAAGTAATAAAGAGTGTTTACCTTCGCAGACTGTGACACCGTTTCCTGAAAAGCCCATGTTGCAGTAGCAGCCTTCCTTCCCATTACGGATTTCACATTTTGCGTTTGGGAGACAAGGTGCCTTGGTGCAATTTTGAGTGTAGGAAGAGTTCAACAAAGTGGAAAAACCCACTAAATAAAGTAGAGAAATACATTCTTTCAGAAACAAAAAGAAACATCTCCCTGCCTTGTTGAGTTGGAGTACAATCACATGCAGTCCTCCTTTCTTTCCACTTAGATCAATGGGTTATGAAAATTTCCCAAAGGAGTATTTACCTAAATAACAGCACAAAGGCAAGTAAGCCAGGAGATTAAGGGTTCATTTGTTTCCGGTTTCAACCTTTGTCAGGCAAATCTCAACAAAGCTAAACTGTAATAAACAACTCAGCTTTTATAATCAAATGTGCTTCCCCGGATCAGTGTGTTACCCTGACTCAGGAGTGCCCTTATCCCAGGTGAGGTACTTTTAAAGGTAACTGCCTGATTGTAAAGCAGTTTCCCTGTCTGGGACTCATTCCGTGCAGAAATGAAGGTAAATTGAGTATTTGGGTCTTTTCAAATTCAAATCTGTGTTATTTAAGATGACATCTTACCATTTAGGTGGATAAATGAAATTACTGTTTTTTTTTTTTTTTTTACCCTGTGTTGTAGGGATTGTTTTCACTTCTACCCTTTTTGTAATGACATTTATTTTACATTGTATTTCATCAGGAGAAATTTTAAAATAACAACAATAACTACCCCCCCCCCAAAAAAAAACAAAACTCCACATACTGGTCAGAAATTCAGCTTGGAGAAATGGAAATACACATGGATGTGACCAGCAACAACAACAACAAGAAACAGCACACAGAACAAAACTTTTTATGTCAGAGTTACTGAAAATAAAATTGTAAATGGCATTTTGTGGACTGATAGGAAAAGCTAAGGGAAAGCTCAGGCCTGTTGCTCCAGGCCTTCTCAAGAGAAAATTTGAGGGCCAACAAGAGCTCGGAATCCCGCAAACCACTGTGCTGGAAAGTCACGTAGGACAGTGTTCTGATCTGGTACCAAAAGATTCTTGAACACTGGATTCTCACTCCTAGTGTGTCAAGGGTTTTAATTCATATGCTGTCCAACCCACATGATTTCAGCTTCAGAGGTGTGATTTATTATCTTTCTGTACAGCGGCACCCAAATGCTATTTTAGATGAACCCCAAGCCTGGGCTGGCCATCGCCTGGAAATGCCAGGAAGCCTCCACAGGTGTTAAAGTCTTTAATGTCCCGGATTTCTCAAGTTTCCTGGGGTGCCGGGGGACAAAGTTCACAGTCTGAGACTTTATGGACTTGGGGTCTTTTTCAGAAGGAATCAAAAGGTTGATGACCCCTGGGCCTTGGATGTCCCGCTCTGGGGCTGCAGGGCCAGGGGGGAAACGTCCTGAGAAGGACTGCGTCACAGCAGCCACTTGAGCCCTGGGCTTTATCTAGTAAAAACAATAACAAGAAAGAAACACACCGTGCTGCGAGGGACCCGCCCTCCGGCAGGCTCAGTGACAGGGGACGCCGCCGGGCACTCACCTAAGAGCGACAGGAGTTTCATTGGCGGCGGCGCGGAGGTGGCGGAGCAGCGGTGCGGAGCGCGGTCGGTGTGCGGGCCTGGACGGCGGTGGGACTGGGCGGCTGCGCAGGGTCCCGGCTCCGTCCCCTGTGACGCGCCCGCTTCCTCTGGACACTTTCCGGCCTCTTGTGTGTGTAGCAAGCCCCGGGTGTGCTGGCCACGCCCGGCCTCCATCTCCTTTGCCCTCTCCACTTGGGCTCGGTTCCCTCCCGCTGACAGCACCCCAACCCTGAGCACCTCTGCAGACCCTCAGGGGGTTCATTTTGCCCCCAGGCACAGCTTGCAAGGTGCCACCCGCAAAGTCAGCGCTTAAAAGCCAAAGCTCTCCAGAGGCCCTTGAAAGGTCCGTCTTAAGAAAGCGTCCAGAACCCAGTGGGTTTTAGGAGTCTTCTCTGCCATTTCAATTCCAGGGTGCAGCCTTTTAAAAAAGTTCACCAGTAAATTTATTAGTAAAGGGACTCAAAAGAAGCCAGCAGACCTGGGGCCACCATGCAAGCCGGCATTCCGGTACTAGGGACTCAGTCCTGATGCTGTGGCTGCGAGTTCCAGGGCGTAAAGTCATTCTATCTTGCCTACAGGTTAACGTTCTGCGGCTACTTTCCACCTAATGTCCAGTAAAATCCACCCATCCCCTTCCTCTGTCCCCAGAACAACTGGTGCATCACATATCGCTTTTCCTTTTACGTATTAACATGAGTTAACCACGTAAAAACAGACCATCAGGTTGGAATATGAAAACAATTCTTCTTTAAAAAAATTATAAATCGTCGGCCCAAACTGATGTATAATGAAAGAAAACAGATCATCAGCTGCCCAAAGTTGGAATAGGGTCGGAGGATTGACAGCAGAAAGGGACAAGAAAAATCGGAGACAGTGGCAATAGTCTATTTGTCACTTAGGACAGTGATCACCTGAGTACACACATTTGTCATAACTCATCAAACTGTATTCTTAACGTTGCTGCATTTGATTGTAAGTGAAATAAATTGTATATAAGTTTAAGTAAAATTGATTTAAGAAAAAAAATGCCTAATGGTTGTGCCATCCAAACAAGCCATTTTGCCTCTAAATTGCTGGATATAAACTTGTGGCATTCCATTTCTATCCTGTTTACTTTAACAGATGTTTAGTGCAAATCTATTTTGTATAGACAGAACCTCAGAAAGGTGAACAGGCATGACCCATGGAATCCAGGGAACTTACAAATAATTGGGGCAACAACTAAAACTAGTCACAGTGACACAAATTGCAAAGTTACATCTGTAAGTCATTGTAACTACTTAAAGTACCACCTGTCCCCAAGTCAGCTGTGTTTGCATGCTGATAGTATATTCCTAGATCCTTTCTAGCTTAACTTAAAGTGGAAGACAATTTCCTGAGGGTTGTATCCCAATAGATGAGGCAAGTGAAGAACAGAGGGGTGTGTGTCTTGCCCAAATGCACAGCTGGTCTAAGTGACAAGCCTCGATTCGATCTCAGGTTATTAGCTCTCAATCCCTGCTCCCCATTGCCCTGCTAAATCCTTGCGGCGTCACCCACAGGGCTGCAAGAATGAGTCATAAGCTATTCAGGGAGTGAAAAAGCCACATTACAGCTCCAAATGCCACAAAAGAAGTGTTAGACTATTCTGTTGATAATTGTTTTCTTTTAAAGATTTTTCACTTTTTTTTAAAGCAAAAAACAATTCAGTGGAAAAACTCTGGCAGCAGTCCAAGCCATGGATTCTAAGGAGGTATCAAAGGCGAGAAAAGGAAGGGAGACTGGGGAATGAGTAGTCCAGGAAATAGACGGTGAATCACTGAGCAAGGGCAGGAGCACTGGGGACGGCGAGATAGGGACAGAGGCCAGAAAGGGTTAGATGAAGACGGACTGATGTCTGGCTGACTTGGTAAGATTGAGGGATATGTCTGAAACCAAAAGAGTGTGGAGGTTTATGGTTGGACCCCCTCATAAAAATAAGAAAGATAGGATGAGGAGTGGTTTTGAAGGTAAAGTAGAATAAGCCCAGGACCCAATATTGTGGTTTTCCTCTGTAATCCTACCACTCAAGGAAGTCCAAGGCAGGAGGATCAGTTGAGCTCAGGCGTTTGAGACCAGCTTGAGTAAAGAGGTGAACCTGTCTCCTCTGAAAATAGAACATGTTACATGGGGGGTGGTGGTGGTGGTGGTGGTGGTGCAAGCCTGTAGTCCTCTAATTCCTGTCGGGGCTGGTTTTCCCCACCTCCTCCCAGCTACTTGGGAAGCTGAGGATTGCTTGAGGCCAGGGGTTTGAGGTTGCTGTGAGCTATGATGATGCCATTGTGCTCCATCCTAGAGACAGAGGGAGAATCTGTTCTAAAAGAAAAGAAAACAACAACAAAGAAACAAAAAAAGTGATCCTAGTAGTTTTGTAATATAAAATTGGATGTGCTCTAATGATGATGTCATTTATAGGAAACTAGTGTCTCCTATATAGAAACTAGGGCGAGTTTGCAAACTTGTCACACCTCCTATGATGACAGCTCTCATGGCCATTCCAGAAGAAGAAATCCAAAATTGTTTGGAATGGTAGACTAAGCGTTGGCATCCGTGTTCGGCTTCCCCAGGGGAATACTTTGCAGGCGACCACAGCGATACTCAGCAGTAAGACGTGCCGCACTCTTTCTAGGATGAGTTCTGGAACTTAATTGTCTGACTTCATGTTGGTCATTAATTACACGTCACTTGACTTTCTCACCTTAATAAACTTTGGCACCAATTTGTTAATTTGAGTAATTCCTCATAAGTCCATATTATCTTTATTCCATAGAACCCTCAATGATATAATTTACCACATAAAGTCTCCTAGCGTGGCTCAATTTTAGTCCAAACTAATTAACAGTATACAGTTGGCAAAAGTATATAGAAAGGTTTTTTAAAAAGGAAATTTAATCATCTATGAAGTAGGAGAGGGTAATTTACTCATAACATGCTCACTGTCGAAATTAAGAAAAACTTTCACAAAGGGAAGTAATAGCCAACAGGGTAGGGGGACAGATGCCAGAAAGGACTAGATGAAGACGGATTGATGTCTGGTTGACTTGGTAGGATTGAGGGATATGTCTGAAACCAAAAGAGTGTGGAGGTTTATGGTTGGACCCACTCATAAAAATAAGAAAGATAGGAAGAGAAGTGGTTTTGAAGGTAAGTGGACAGGTAAGGACAGAGGTTTCACAAGTGGACTTGCGTGTAGGTGGTGCTTAACCTGATGGGTTAGAACTCCAAGGTCAAGAACATAGTTTTCTCTTGCTTCATGATATTTCATGCAACTTGAGTGTGTAAATATGGAATTTTCCAAAAAGGGCTAAGTTTCTAGAATAGCACTTTAAGTAAAGTGTATCAGCACTTTAAGTAAAAAGTATCAAAAATATGATTGTTTATTGTTGGAGATTAGCTGGATTTTTTGCTTTGGGGATTTTTTAGATTTTTGGTTGTGTTTTACATCATTGAATTATAGCAAATTTCAATCTTCCCCATTTAATTTTATAGAAAAAGCCAGTACAACTCTGCCCAGTAATTTGTAGTTCTCAAACCATTAGATAAATCATTTGTTTTTCTGTCTAGTGTTAAACCTAGGTTCTACCCAGTCATTATAAAGATGCTGCAATGTTCAAAACTGGCTACCTAAAATTTTGTGTCACCACAATCTGCATGAAGTATATTTAGTACCTGACAACAGTTTGTATCAAAAGTAAATTATTACTGATTTCTACTGAAACTACTTATGTAGTTTTTTAATAATTTCATCACCTAATTAAGAAAATCAATTTTTCATTTAAAAGAGTATTTTAAAAATTAACTTTTTAAGACTCTGAGCAGTTACACTTGACAAGCTTTTCTGCTGCTAATGTTTTCAATGGAAGTGGGGTGCAAAAAGCATCTGGTAATTTTTAATGTGGTGACTGGAAGGGAGGAGACCCAAGTTCCTTCCCATCCTGGTCAGTCAATTGTTCTGTGACCTTCAGAAAATCACTAACTCTTTCCATTATTCTGTTTAACGTATTTGCAGATGACTCTGTTTCATGTGGTGTCTTCTCTCCTGGGGTTCTTATTTATAAATATTTATAAACTAGCACCCACACTTAGAGACGGAATTTCTGAGCCAGCTGTTGATGAAGATTAAGAAAAAGGAGAAGGGGCTTGGTGCCCATAGCACAGTGGTTATAGCGCCGGCCACATACACCGAGGGTGGTAGGTTCTAACCTGGTCCGGACCAGCTAAACAACTACAACAAAAAAATAGCCAGGTAGTCTCAGCTACTTGGGAGGCTGAGGCAAGAGAATCACTGAAGCCCAAGAGTTGGAGATTGCTGTGAGCTGTGATGCCACAGCACTCTATGGAGGGCTCCAAGGAAGACTCTGTCTCCAAAAAAAAAAGACAAAGAAGAAAGATGAGGAAGAGGACAGAGCACCTGTACCCAAGCTAATTATCTGCACTTTACTGAGTTCTAAATTATTTAATTAATTTATTTTCCTCTTTTTGACCTCTTCCATGTTATGAAAATGTTTAAGTGACCTCATTTTCTCAAAGGCCAGCCCTGCAACAACAGAAACCAATTTGAAATCACCTATTCTATTTAATATCCTTACTCTTTTCAGCTATCCTTTCAGCATGTTGTAGTGCTAATTTATTCATAGTCAATTGCTTTTCTTCATTGAATTGACCAAAATAATATCCTGAGAGGTTACAGAATCCATCAGGATGTACAATTAATTGAAATTATTTCTTTAGATTTGTAACGCGTTGTACTTTACATTACGCTTCATCTCCCTTTGTGTTCCTCAATCACTAGATTGGTATATTTTCTTACAATTCTCCACAATTGCTCAATTGTTATAGGAAAATTAAATATTGTAATTATGTATCGAGGACGTGTTTCAGCTGCTTGTTGTTCACTATTATCTGTTGTTATTAGCATGCATATCGAAGATACAGTCTCTGGTGCAGCTCGCCAGGGAATATCCTTATTAACTTTCATCTCTTTGAGAATTATCTTTTTATTCTTTCTCTTTA